TGGGTTTATTAGAACTGAGCCACCCAGACTCTCTCTGCTGTGCTGTCAATACAACAGTTACATAAACCTTCCTCATTATATTTGTTGTGCTCAAAACCCAGCTACTGCAGACAGTTTTGAAATAATGCTAATATTCCATGGGCTCAAACAACAGGCACATCAGCCCTAGGGAATCAGCTGCTACAGATCACACTGTCTAGCTCCAGTGTGGGGAAGTGAGGATGCAGATCTTTACCATTATTGCTTTATTTACAGCTAAAGCATAACATACATCAGGTATAAACCCCCAAGTCTGTATGCAGCTCTTAGCAACTGGTCCTTAAAAGCTGTAAACCTAAAGCTCTGTAAGCAGAGCAATCTCAAAAATGAAAGTTTACTGGGGGAAACAACCTCTTCCCCTAGTCTTATGATTCTACTTAAATAGTGCAAATAATATGGATTTTTCAATTAATTATATTAAAATAGACAATGCTTATGATTTTCAATACAAGGCTCAATATAGATGTACATTTTTGGTTTGCAGTATGGAAAGGCTGCTGTATAAATAATCCAAGTGACCTTTCAGATTGAACTAAGTGACATAGTGTCATAATTCCTCAGGTAGGATAAAACCAGGACGTAGTTGACAGTAATCAGAATAACCTGAGAGGCTTGAGACAGGTGCTGGAACAAAGACTCTACTGAAATAGCTTCGTATTTATACTCAGTATTTACACCCAGAGTATTCTTATACAAAAAATACTCTAAGACATAAAACTTTGCTTGAAGAAAGCAGAAACAATTTAGCTTTGAGAGGCATGTCTGGCTCTTCTGTTCATGTAAATGTGGCATTTCATATTAAAATGCTGCAGTGAAGTAGACTAGTTATTATTTCACCTGACACTGCTAAAGAGCATTTAGGTCAGTCAGCACAAAGAGCCAGATCTTCCCTGGTGCCAGCTCTGAGCAGTGTCCTGCTGCTCTCGGATGAAGCTGTCATTTCCCCACGGGACAGAATTTAAGAGCAGGTGACATAATATGCATTTTACTTAAGCTGTGCTGTTTTACGAAAGTAAAAGTCTATCAATATTTACGTTTTCACTAAATCTTTCACATGCATCTTGCTAGAACTTACTCCTGCTGGCAAGAGAACACAGTACAATCACTCTCAGAATGATAAAATGAGGCTCCTTCTCGTTCACAGACAAATCTGCATTGAAAGCATCCTCCTGCAGTGTGGGGAAACACACACAGCTTTGGGAAAAGCCTTCCCTGAACAAAAGGTTTAAGCATCTTTAGGGACTTTGCCTCATCCTAAGATGAAGAGAGTGTTCTGGCTGTACAAATATACACACAGATAAACAAGACAGTGATTTTCAGGGCAGGAGACACCAAGAAGATTATTATTAGCAGGATTATTCATCTGTGTTTTCCCAATATGGCTTGTTTCAGAGTTGCTCTTGATTTACAGATGGATAATGAAACAAGTGTGATCTTATTGGAGCAAAAGCATATGAAATGAAGGGAAAAACACTGGAAAATGAGACAAAACCACAGTAAACGTATTCAGCGATGTCCAACACTTCCAAAAAACTTTATAGTTCCATTGAAACTGCACTGGCTGCTATCAACCACCATCTGGGAATCCCAGCTGAGGAGACACAGAGCCACCATGTTATTTTGTTCAGGTTCTTTCTAAGCCACAGAAAGAGTGCATTTCAGAAGGTTAGTAAACACATCACACTGCAATTACTTTGTTCCCTCTCTGCATAGTAAAAGCTCATATATTTTTTACTGCATGTTCCAACTCAGATTTTATACTCTTTATATTATGGCACCCTGTAAGAAAATATAAAATCTACATTAATGCCTTATGTGCAAGTATGTTTTGTAGTGGAATTTATAAATATTAACAAGATAAAATTTAAAAGCACAAAAGACACCATTTGCAGCTGTAAATGTTTAATTCTGAGGGAACGGGAATAACATTTTCATCTTCATGCAAGTCAGGAGCTATATTAAAAGAATACTTGTAAACAAAGTGTTCAAATAGCAGGACAAACCAGTTCTGATCAGAGGTGATTCAGAGTCTTTTCTGTTACCCTCTCCAGTCTTAGTTCAATATATGACTTTAAGGTCTAAAATATCTACTTGGTATTGGTAGGAATCTGGAAAATGGAAGCCCAGATGATAATCTCAGTTTTATTAATCCAACATACCCTTCCCTGGGTAATCAGTATTACTGCCAATACCAAGAGCTGGGTTTTACATTTATAAAACCCTTTTCCTGAGTAGACAATGAAAGTCTGCCAAGGTCCTCCCCCAATAACCCACTGGATGAAGGGTCACAATACTCATCATCACAATACTCATCACACGAGCAATGGACCAACACCTTCAGAAATTAGTTTAAAGCCACAAATTAGGCTTTTGCCTTTAAAAAAATTAAATAAAATGGTACAGTCACCTTAGCAACCAAGTTCAGAGCTTCTGGAAAACAAACAAAATCTGGATCCAGGATTTGAGGGTGGGAATTTCAAGGGTACATTGGAAGAGTCTGGTTCTCATGGGACACCACAGGACACTGGAAAACCGATCTCTGTTTGTACTCCTGAAAATATGTGCCTATTGCTGACAGCACAGGGCTTTGCTTTGGGAAGTCTCAGCCCTGGTGTCTCCATTTAGATGATTTTTTTAAAAAGTGAATAGTCACAATAGCTGAACTTTTGCAATTGCCAAAACAAAAATTATCATAGTTACAAACTCTTCCCTCCAGAGACCCCCTGGCTGGAGTAGGGGATGAAACTAAAGCATTGCAGTGGCACTTGCATTTTCCCATCCCTGAACCAGGAACTGGAGCTCTCCTGTTCCTTCAAGGCCAATGAAGGGCAAACTCTCTTTTGGGGAGGGTGATCAGGAAATAACCTGACTAGATTAATTTCTCACTTCTAGGATCACCAAAACATTTGGAAAAAGAATGAGCAGAAAATGAGAACACTCCCAAGGATCAGATTTCTACACAGCTCACAACCTGGACAGCTCTTCCTCCTGCCCACAGTCACTGCCCCCACACTGAGGAATGTAGACATCCTATCTGATTTTATTTACATATGCAGCACCAGAGTTCCCAAATTTCACAGATATACAAGCAGATTAATACACAAAGAGGGCCACAAACATTCAGAATGAGCCATAATGCTTTTGTTGCTTTCACTTCTAAGATCCAACCCAAGATATTAATGAGAAAAAAGAATCGCAACAGGAATAAAGAGTTTGTCGGTTGTGAACTTCCCTGTCTGTGCATCATGCAAACCAGAATTCTGCACTATCCTGCCATAGGAGGATGCACAGCGGTGTCAACATCCCAATGATGGCTTGGGAGAAACATCCCTTTGGTGATGGGCAGGGGCGGATGAGGTAGGTTGTCAGGAGGTCACTCCAAGTCAACATTTTAAAAGATATATACAAAAAGGCTGCCATAAAGTACCAAAACCCTAAACTCCTTAGGAAGAACACCTGCAACACTGCAGAGGGATAACTGAAGGACTTTGCAATCACCTGAAAAGGACTATTTATTTCTTCCCTCTGGGCTGGCGTGAGGTGTGGGGATGGTTTTATTCCCTCGTATCTGTCACTGCCCATGGGAGTGAAGAACAGCACGGCAAAAAGAACACTGCAGGACAGAGAGGGGCCCCGGGGCTGTGCCACAAAGCAAGCAGCACAGAGAGCAAAGCCTTCCATCTGAAATGGGACTGAAGAAAAGCCTTCCACGTAACCCAGCTGCTGTCCTGCCCAGGCCAGCCCCTGCCCCAGCAGCAGCCAGGACCTGCTGAGCCGGCAGATCATCATCGCTGGCACCTCACCCAAGGGAATGTGGTGATGAAGGTATTTTCAAACCAGTAAATAAACAACAGCGCAACCTAATTCTCAGGTATAAACAGGCAGGCAAGGGAAGATGAGCTGCGTGTTGTGCTATTAAACTCTTTAGGTACAATTTACAGCTAATTGCCTTTCACAGCGGAAAACCCCCCATCCCTCCCCAACCAGCTCCAGCTTCCCCAAGGTTTAATTGCCTGCTCAGACTGGGATGGGAGGCTGAGGAGAGTCTCCAGCTGTACATCCAACAGGGGCAGCTCAGCAGACGTGTGGAGTTCTAGTGCTTTTCTTTGCTGCAGGCCAAGAGTTCCAGGAAGGGAAAACCTCATGTCTTCTGTCTCTCATTAAATGTTGGTGCACCATCGTAATTACAAAATACCATCTGAGAGGCCTTGCAGTCCTTTTCCAGCTCCAAAAGGCATCTTAAAACTTATTTCACAAACAGAAGAATTGAAATAAGGGGAAAGGGTATTTATAATACATATATTATATTATATATTTCATAATATAAAATATTACAATATATTTTAATTATAGATAATTATTATACATAATATTTTATAATATAAAATAATATATTCATATAATAGATGTAATAAGGGGAAAGGTGTTTATATTTAAATTATAAATATTTTTATATAAATATATTTATTATATTCATTGTAGACTACTAAGACTGTACTTATGAGGTGCTGGATTATTCATGTCCAGAATCCAGTTGGCCCTTTTGCTCCAGTCATTTCACTACAACACAAAATGCCATAGTAGTTACCCTGGGGTGTAGAAACTGCTGGAGGCACACAGAGTCCTCTTGGCCCTGAACTGTCCATGGTGTTATGCTTGAGTCTTTAAAGAGTAAATAACCCTTTATTGATTAAATTGCTTTTAAAACCAGTATTTTAGTCCCTTGATTTTACATGTGTATATGTAATTTTGCAGACAGACACAATATGCTTTTTTTTTTATCTCTACAGAATGTACTTGCTCTCAAACCCCAAGGGTGAGGCAAATGAGACAGCAGTGCAGGGTAGGATGCAACAGCATTTTTAAATTAGCCTACAACTGACTTGAGAGCAGCATCTGAAACTGTGTCCTTCCGACAGCAGAAAGGTCTTCTTAAATGAATTCCAAAGGAAAAACATTTACTTCTGAATTTTCACTGAAGCAGGTGCCCGAAATGCTGCTGTGCACATTGCAGTCATGTATGTCCTCTGAATGATAATAGAGAGACAGAAATAATTTGTGAGATAACCAAGCTCCACAGTCTGTGTTGTGTATCTTCCTGTTTCAAGCCACACACTGCAGGGGGCTGTTTGGCTATTTTTAGCAATGTTCTTATGCTAACATATCCTACTTTACCCCATGTGTATAGACACAAGTATCTCCCAGCTCTCAACAGCTCTTCACCTGCATCAATTCAGCCTCCACGACTGTCATTACTCCAGGTCATCTTTATCTTCAGGTCAAGTCTCCTATGGTAATAAGTAGGACTTTCTGTAGCAGTTTTATATTGCTAATCTGCTTCCATTACCTTCAAAACAAGCTGTAAAAATGCATTTAAAAGCGCTCACCTCAAATTTATTTACACAGTGTGGATATATACTGGAATAAAAACCGGGCAAGTTCTCATCTTCCTTCTGGAAGGAACAACAAAACTGCCCAGTCCCCAGTGTGATATAAAGTTTTCTTTATGATACTCTGTGTATAGGAGGTACTCCTGGTTTTACAGCCCAGCACAGTAAGGACCAGATGGTTTTGGATATGGGCATTGCCACATGTCAACCTGTCCAGAAAAGAGCCAATTTGAGTAAAACAACTATCTTTTATTCTATGCCCTGACCCTCCCTCTTTCCTCTATGAGAGAAACTCTGTGGGAGCCAATTCATGATGTAGGGGAAGAAAGGTCACATCTCTGCTTCAACAGCCTTTCCTGGACCTCCTCTCCACTCTACACCAGCTCTGTATTTCACCCTGACTAAAAGGGGGAAGAGGGAGAGCTCAGCCATCCATCAGGAGCTGAGGGTTCAGCCTGGGAGAAGCTTTTCAGCACAGCAGGGACAGTGCCCGGCAGGGTGGGACAGATGCTCAGTGCTTGGAGAAAGGCAGGAATTCAGGCTCCTCCACGGGGGGAAGCAGCTGCAGAGGCTCATCCCCACCCAGCAGAGCCTGGAGCAACTTCAGGAATCAGGAACAACTTGAACCCTCTCGGCCTTGGTGTCATGACCCACTCAGACTCACCAGCTGGAAGGTGCAGAGCTCTGGGTGCCCGAAGCCAACCAACCCCACACCAAAGCCACGCTCCCAGCTGAGCCCGGGCTGCTCCCAACGCGCTGCCCCGACACGGGGCTGTGGGAGCAGCTTCCCAGGGCTCTCGGGAGAGCCAGGAGGGCTCCCCCGACTCATTATGCAACAGGCTCACAAATAGTTCATTGAGCACAGGCCTGAGGATTAGTCTGGTTCAGCTGGACACTGGAGCTTAATCCTCGCCAAGCAACAGAGTGTGGCAAAGGCATTCCTCGGATTTGCTGACAGGAGGGATCTGCTGCCAGAAGTCAACCAAATATGTAAGCTTTCAGAACACAGCATTTCCTTAGACACTCAACATGTCTATTCTCTATTACTCCTCATAGTAATTACATCAGGCAACTTCACATTCAGTTGTCATGAAATGCCAGCTTGCTCTAGGAAAAACATGGGAGGTGGCATTTTAGTCCTATTGCAAATGACAGTTCAGGGTCAGCAGCAGGGCACAGCTGAGGGGAACTTACAGAGGAGAATCTCGCAGTGCTGGCACTAAAAAGGGCTCTGCTGCAAATTTTACTCCCAGTTTTCTCTGAAGTAAAGCAACAGTTAAGCTCTGAGTAAGAACGGTGTTGTCTTGGCTGCCCCTCCGTAGACACACATTTAATTATTGCAGATCCACAGAAGAACCGATTATGTTCCAAATTAAACTCCCTCTCTTGTTTCTGCCCTTTAATGTGCTGACAAACAAAAGCATTAAATGATTTGTATTCATCATCAGGATGGCTGAGAGAGGTTCAGAGCTTAGAGATGCAGCCAGGCCAGGACAAAACTGTTCCTACTCGCGAGGGAATTTTAATTGCAGATGTTTTGCACAAGGTAACAAGGAATCTCTGTGCTGAGACTGCAAGGAAAAAACAGTCTGAGAATTCTGTTCTGTATTTATAGAATTAAAAAATGGTGACCATTAAATTGGGATTACATCACCACTGAGCCAACACCTCATCTCTCTTGGTGGTGGTGATCTCAACCACAGAACTCACTACTCCACCCTGTTTTGGCAAATAAAAATAAGCAGCTGTTTGGAGCATTTTGTGAATACTGAAAATATACTTCCTCATATTCTGGCTAACCATTTCTCTCTTTTTTTTTTTGGTGATAAAAATGAATAGAAAAAGAGCTTCAGTTATTAGAAAAATGCATTTCCAGTCCTCTAAGGATGTTTATGGAACCTTGTAGAGAAGGACCAAAACGGCTTTTGTAAAGTCACAGAACCACAGAATATGTCAAGTTAGAAGGGACCCACGAGGATCATCAAGTCCAACTTCTGGTCCTGCTTCAGAACTGTATAATAAGAAATAAACATGTTATTCCAACCCAAAGTTCCTTCCTCTTAATTTAAAGGTCCATAAATGTGCAGCACTCTGGCAGCCAAACAAAATGGATATTTTCCCACAAAGAAACCCTTCCTGATTGGTACGGAAAGAGTCTGGGCAAGCAAAGCACACGTCAGGAGCTAAAATGGACACTGCACTGAGGGGAAACTGCCCGCTGGCTCCTCCACCCTGACAAGGGAACTGTGTCATTGGGGGTGGAAGGGTGGATTAAAATTGTCTAGTGTAGGAGTCAGCTCTGCAGATGAAGGGAGAAGACGACCCTCGGGCAGAACCCTGTGAAGTCTCTGCTGACCAGGGGCAGCTCCACCTCCCTGGGTGAGGCCAGGGCAGCTCTCTGTGCTCTGCCAGGCTGTCCCAGGGCTGGGGGAGCCAGAGCTGCTGTGCTTTGCCAGGACACCACCAAAGGATTTCAGTGTGCAACACAAACGTCTTCCTACAAATAAAGCACCTATTCAACAGCCAACAGCCTTTGTGGTTTCTTCACACAAGCACAGCCACAAAAACGTGCCCTTATGCAAGGGCTGCCGTGGCTGTGCCGCCTCACAGTGTGCTCACCAACGTCCCACCAGCTGTCTGGGGACAGCAAACCTGCTATTTCTGGATCAGAGAGGCCTGGTCACAGAAGGCATTATATAAAGTACCTCAGCTGGCCAGGCTTGACCTCACCCAGGGTTCGGTGAGGGTTTCTCAAGTTGGGGCCGTCAGAATTCGGCAGATGAAGGTCAGGTTCAGAGGAGGGAGTTAGATACTGCACAGGCATAATTTAGTGTCACAGAAATGCCTTCCAGAGCCGTGCCACCATTCTTCAGCTAATAGGGTGGTTATTTAAAGAAAGAAGGCTCTTTGCAGTGATCCAATCATTTGGAACAGGACTGCTGTGCGACCAGCTTTGGTCACACATTTTTCTATTCTTATTTAGGGAACAGAGACCATCTAGTTATTTCTGCACAACTGAAAAGATCAATTAAAATATTAATTTCCATTAGTTCTGATTCTCTAGAACACTTGCAGACAGAGCACCTGTCAGAATCAGACCAAAGCTGGCAAAATGCTCAGGAAGGGCTTAATAGTTCAACAGTAAGTCTCAAGTATTTTCATTTCACTTCATGCCCACAAGCCTTTATTTCTTTTACATTACCAATACAAGGCAGTCTCTGCTCTGTGCTGTCAGGACAGAGTCACAAATTGGTGTCTCTATCCTTAGGGAAATAGTGCTGTGACAGGTACAATCAGGCAAGGCAGACTCTCATTAACTGTTCAGGTGCATGAAAACAGTCAGGCATTTTTTCCTCTAAGAACTGAAGGAATGAAAACACACCAATTTTAAGTTGTGAAAGATCACATATGCACATTTAAGAGCTCCAGCTAACTGTGGGAGGTGGCCACAACATTACCTCAGAATTTCACTAACTTTGTTAGTATTTAGACTGGTCACAAAATAGATTCAGAGGCACAAAGCACAAAATGTCACACAGCCAGTCTAAATTCCCCTTGCTGCAGGAATGATAAGTTTTGCATCTCCTGACTGTGGCACTAAACCTGCATTATATGGGAAAACTGTTGTTTAAACATGTCTTAAAATGGCTTTTGGTGGTCTCTTTGCAAACACATGCTTCTTCTTCCCAACACCCCCCACAAAAGTGTTATCCCATGCAGGAATGTCCTGAGGAGATATCCTGAGGTGTTCTTGTTGGCCCCTTTTAACCCCTTCCTACTGGTTGTTAACCCCTTCCTGCAACCTGTAATTGGTTACTCTGTGAATCCTCCTAAGCCTATAAATGTAACCCCCCCAACAATAAACTCTCTCTTGCCTCCTCTCCACGCCCAGTGTGCTGTCTCAGTGCTGGCCATGGAACCACGTGGGTGGAAGGAGGGGAGAGCACCTCTTCCCTCCAGGCTCAGGGCCTGAAGAAACCCATGATGCTGGAGTTCCCTTTCCCTATCCTTCAAGAAGTCGGAATGGTTCCTCAGATGGAAACGGAACTAGAACTGGGCCGCCCCACGCCACGGGGGGAAAGGGATCCAGACCTGACAGATCATATCTGATGGCTTTAGGACTCAGATTAGCTCATCATTTGACCAACTGACCTCTGCAGAGGGACCTACTTCCTCAGACCAAACCCACGCACAGTTCCTCCTCCTCTTTCTAACAGCCCACTTTTGCCACCAAGGTACCAGAAATGTGCCTCAGGAGGGGGGATTCTCTGCACAGAGTGAGCAGACAGAAACCTCTGTACAGCAAGTTCCAGTACCCACCAACCCAGGCAGGCTGAAGTTTGCTGCTCAGCAGTTTGTGTGAGCCATGAATTAAGGTGGCTGGCTGGCTGGCTATCAAAGATCATCAAGAAAAATCCTGTTATATCTTCATATGCTTGAAAAGCATGAGCATTTCTTCACTTTGATACATGTCCCTGTTTTCTGTTCTGCTGTGAGCTGTAAAGTTCAATCACCAGCTTCATATTTCATCTCCCACACCTCAAATTCCATCTGGTTGTGTGAGAAACAAATGTACACTTGGGTATTGTTCTAAAGAGAGGTCAGCAGAGACATTTACCCACCATGAGGGTGCTGTAGCTGCCTCTGGGCACACCCAGGGAGCAGTGATGCTTTGCTGAGATATGGGAGGATGAACAACCAGCTCCTCTCTGAAGGTACCTCCCCACAGAAGGAGGGATGACATTCCCAGCAGTGCCAGCATCCATCACTTCTCACTTGGCTCCCTCACACTCACATCTGTGGTTACTTGAGCCTGTCCTTGATACCAAAACCACACAGGCAACATCCTCAGGGGAAGGATCAGGCACAGGGAACTCGATTCTGAAAGTCTACAGTGAGAGAAGTCATGACGAGGTGTGAAGTGACAGCACAAACCCGGGGAGGACAAAACATCTTTCAGCCCAGGGGCTGATGGACATAAAATTGGGTTTATGTCTCACTGGGGTGTCCATGGAGGCAACTACAGAGGAAACTGCTCCTATAGATGAGCTGCATATTCAAAGATATATTTTCTCTGATGTCCCTCAGTGACCTCATTGTTTCCCCCTGAAAAAGGTAACTGCACGTGGTTGCTTTTGCTTGTGTTTTCTTATATGATCCCAATGAATTTTCCTCAGGTGATCCCACAGATCCCACAGCTCCTGAGAAAGTTCATGGACTGCTGGAAAACTGAGATCAACAAAGAATCATGGGACCATGAAAATGGCTCATGTGCAGAGGACTCCAACATCATCATACCTCCGATATTTGTAAATTTTTAGGAAAAATTCACTGCACGCCAAATATTTTTTTCACCCAATAAATTATATATTTACAGTAAAAAAAGCTTCCTTTTTCAATATTCTGAAGAATAGACTGAAGCCCAGACTTTAAAAAAAAGTGTACAGTAAGCGTTAATATTTGATTTTCCACATCTGACCTATTTTACACTTTACCATTTTACACGTTACAATTTGTTACTCCAGGTAACCCAGCTCTAATAGACACGAGCCTATATTTAATCCAAAGCACCCAGACAATCACTACATAGTCCATGAATTTGAGACAGAATTTACTCAATTCCATTTTAATTTCTATTGTGTGTGAAAGTGTTTAGAGTGTGAGCCATGCTAAGAGATGACAGAATATCATTATACAGTAATTCAAATGCTTTCAAGGCTGCTAAGAAACCTCCACTATAATGACAGGCCTTGTGAAGCACTTGGAAATGCTGTTTCATCCATTCTAGACAGGCTTAGGATAAGAAAATTCATATAATAAGATCATATATTTACAGAACATAGGCTAACCTTTAAACTTTCTGTAATCATATTATCCTGAATCATACAAGACCTGCAGCATTGGCATCACATGGTCCTTCTGAGTTGAGATTTTTTCAGTTTGTTGTGAGCAGCAGAAAATTTGGGAGGACATTCCTGCAAGATGTGCATTGTTCTTCTTATCCACGGTCCTCTTCTCAAGGGCTCTGAAATTCTTTAGCAAGGCTGAACATCAGCTTCCTTTAAAAACACTGAGCTCAGGAAAGGGAAAACAGCTTGGCTTAGTATTTACGTGCCAAGATAAATAAAAATGTCAGAGGAAGTGAAATTTTAAAAGATTGGGTAAACACCCTGAGAGGGTGGCTCACTTGTATGTTCAAATACCCACACATTTTTTGGTGGTTTTGTTTTTCCCATAGGAAAAGCAACTGGAAATAAAATCTATTCAATAGCACAGTTGCACTGTGCTCACAAGCAAGGGGAAGATGAGTCTAAGATGAGGTTTGGTCAGGTCCCATTTGGCTCCCAGCAGATGTGGTTCCCTTTCATCAGCACTGGGTTTCTGTTCCTGTGACCATGTTCTTACCATGGCATGTGCAGCATCTGCTTTGTGCTCTCCAAAACATCAGCCCAAAAGTGGGATTTAGCTCCCTTTGAATCAGAAAGCCCAGCTTTGGTTCAGCCAAGGTATTAGTCAATCCAGGCAGCAAACATTATATACAGTTTTATCCACTGAATTCTGAGCAATTGATAAGGGAGACAAAGCAGCACCATAATGATAAATCAAGGAACACAGTCTTCCAGCTTTCATTCAGAGAATGAAAGTCTTCTCACCACAGTTTGTCCTACTCTAATACCAAACTCTAAGATCCAAACTGGATCTTAGGACATTCACTCAAGGACATCCTTCAGAAATATATCTATCTTTCTATATATATATCTCTATATATCTCAATATTGTGTCAATCTTGGGTTTGAATGCTGCTTTCCCTTTTATAGACAAATAGTTTTCTAACAGAAACAAATAAACTAATAAAAGGCAACTTCTTACATATCTTCACTGTCACACTTCCACTGTAACCTGCAGTTTATACTTTCAGGAGTCATGAGAGCTTCTAAAACAGTTAATAATGTCAGTTTTGGGAACATGGACACCAGTGCACTGGGAAGGCTGGATAAAGGGGCAGACTTGGTTGTTCACAATCTGATTAAAATCTAAAGCTACACAAACAAAAAATTCCACTCATCTGCTGGTTTGGTGCACAAACTGGATTTCTTCAAGATGTCCTGTTTGGCTTCCAGGAACCAGTTTATCGAGGCAGAAGCAGCTGGGATGTTTTGCTGGGCGCTGAAACCTTTTTTCAGTGGGCACAGCAGTTCAGATCAGCTATTGTGAGCAGAAGGATATGCAAAGGGATGATGTAACAGTACCCAGAATGCTGTATGGAAGCTGTAGCATTCAGACAAAAAACTGGAGCCTGCCAGAGCAAAAAGCTTGCACAGCAAACAGAACACTAAGTGCAGGCACAAGGGTTTCAAGCCCTGATAGTGCTCCCGACCTCAAGCACCGGTTCTGTTCTGCTCAGATGGAGCCAGCAAACACTTGTGGTATTGATATGCAAACATGCACACCAGGCGTTTGCTTTATTTCAGCCTTCCCAGACCTGACACTGCTGTAGCAAACAGCTTGTAGCAGGATGCAGAAAGCTCAGCAGCAATGTGAATTGCTGGGGTTTTGCTCCTTTTGCATACTAATACTTTGTATTCTCCTCCAGCTGACAGCTCCTTCTTTCACTCCCACTGATGCCTGAGCTCCGGAGCCAAACAGAAGTTGCTCATAAATCTCCTCTGTGGGTTTCCTTATCTGATCCCAAAAAGCGGGTGTGAGGGCTGAACGGAAAGCTGGGGCTGGGCTTTTGTTGGGTCTCCTGCAGGAATGGGGACAGGACAAAACCGGAGCACTCGGAGCTGTGGAGGCTGCAGCAGGGGGGCAGGGGCCGGGCAGGACGGGTTCCCTGGTCCCTCCAGCACTGCCTGGAAGGTGAGTCTGTGCTCCAGGGCTTGCTGTGCTGGCAGTGGGACGCGGCCAGTCCTGCACAGCCGCCCCGGGGAGCTGCACACTCCACAGCAGCTGATCCCACGGCAAGAGCTGGCTCCAGACTGGGAGCCTGCAGCTCTCCTCTGCTCCAGGGCTCCTCTCCCTGGCACACAAAGCCTCCTCATCCTCCCTGGGCAGGTAAGCCACGCTCGGGGCACGTTCCTGGGCCCCTCAGCCCCCTGCCCGCCGGTGCAAAGGTTGTGTGGAGCTGGCTGGGAATGCTGTGCTGCTCGGGCAGGGGCACGGGGGGCTGGATGGCAGCGGGAGGTTGTGCTGGGCGAGCAGAACCCCAGTTCCTGAAGCGTGGTGCAGGAGAGCAGATTAACAGAGCAGCCAAGCAAGCAGCAGTGGCGAGTATAAAGTTCAGGGTGGGATGAAGTGACAAAACAAATGGCATTACAGAGGAGTCCCATGACAACAGGACTCACAGTAACACACAAACAGGAAGGGAAAAGGAGGGAAGGAGAGCAGAGTGAAATTTAACCCTGCAGTTATTTTCTTTGGCTTGTTTCCTTTCCACCCAGCTTTCCACACTTCCATCAGCAGGCTCATGTTCCCATCACTCCGATCCCCAGCAATGCTTTTGAAATTCATGTGTGCCACTGATTTAAGAGCATAATGGCCCAGAGAAGCTCTTCCCTGGGTTACAAATGCCTTGTGCTCAGACACTTCAAACTGGGTGTCGCTCTCCCCTCCCCATTTCCCATCTCACCACTTCTGTTGCTGATTACACAATGGTGTTTTATTTCTCCATCAGTCCATTCATCATCTTAATCAAGAGATACAAAACATCATGGTTATACTAATGTGTCCTACGGATAGTATCCAATAGTAAGGTCTTGTTACCAGTAAATATTTTCCTATGGCCCTTTGCTGGAAAGAAACACATCTGAGGCCAGCCCTCTTTGGCAGCAGTTATCAAACAAGGAAAAAGAGAGCAGTGTCTAAAAGGCTATACACTTTTTTTTCTTCTTTTGGAACTGAATCCAAGAATATCCTCTGGATGGAGCCCTGTGGAAGGGGCACACAGCTGAACCAACACCCTTTATTGCTCACTCTGAGTAACATAATAAACGTGGCTGCACAACAGGCCACTTTCTGCAGCACATTCTTTGATCCCTGTGTTCTCCTCCGCTGATTGCTGCCTTCAAAACTCCTTCAATTGATTCAATTCTTGGCTTGAATCTTAGCAAAATACTGTTGGAGTGCACAACATCAGTATGGAACTATCTGCCTCGAGCCCAAAGAGGTCATCACAACCAACCCTCGACCCACAAGACGTTTGGGTTTCTCCCCTTTGCCCTCCAACTGCATCATAGTTGTGCTGCTGATGCTTTCTGCCTCTGCAGGGTGGATTTCAGCAGTGCCTAGCACTTGGGAAAACTGGAAAAGACTGGGAAAAAGCCTTTTCATGAGTATCATTTTCCTGTGTGTCTGTAAATATTAGTTGTTTCCGCTGTTTTGATTGCTGTGCTCATCATGGCAAGTTCAAGGCAGCCCAGCTGCGCTTCCCTGTATTTGAATAACACACAGAAGTAAAAAGCAGGATGCTTTACAAGATACTCTGTAGTGTGTAATGTGTGATTACACCCATTTCAGTTGCACTGTCGATTCAGCATTGCCTGCAAGACTCTGAGTGGAACTCACTTGAGATCTGGTTTCACCTGAAGGAGCTAAAAATGTTTGCCAGCCACCATGTTCTGCAGATGTCACGTACACAGCACCTCCAAACACACTAAATCACACTTGGAAATATTGCTTTCTCTGTCTCACTGATCAAGCACATGGAAGTGATACTGCCTGATGCTCCCAGGCTGCTGGGAGAGCTCAGCACTGCAACGAGGGTTTCTAGAATTTGACTCTGCTCTAAGATCAACTTTCCCCTGCAGCTGAACAAACCGCTCTCTGCCTTCCTCTCCCTCAGTCTTTCCATCTGGAAAAATGAAGACATTTGCATCTGTACTGTGGGTGCCTGTGCTGAGCATATAAATCACCAAATGTTTATAAAACTGATTTGAGGAGGAAAAGTTAAGTATTTCTGATTTAATGTGTTTATTTTTATGTTCATGGAACAAAACAAAAAAACAACAAACCCCACAAACCCAGGATAATTCATCAAGGATCTGATCCAGAGTCCATGAAATTAATTTTCCTTAAGTTTATGGCCCAGGCCTGATATTAAATATGAAGGAGTTCTCATTGCAGCTCCAGATGAACATCTACCAGCTATCACAACAGAAAATATGATAACAACAGCAGCAGGCTCAGCTCTCCTCCCCCGCCAAACCACATCCTAGTCCAGTACCTCAGAATGCTACTACACTGAGTAGTGACTGACAGCACCCAAATTAGCACTTCCCAGTACAAAAGGCCACTACACCCCTTGGACAGCATCAGCTTGGTTCATGTTCCCACTCCTCAAATTAGAAAACTTCTAACAAAGTGGCTAAAACTCTTCCTAAACTCCATCTGCTCAGTCTTCACATGTACAAGGCCTGTGATTTTTTTTCCAGAGACCTAAAGGAATGAGGAGCCTGGGTTAAACTGAATTTCAGGAGGATTTTTCACTTTGGTGACTGTAGCTGTAGGAAGAAGCAGTTTTTTGTAAGAGGTACAGACATACAGTTTTGCCTTGCTGAAAAGCAAGGTTTTTAAAAAAAGTTGAGGTTTTTCCTTTCATCTCCATTCTCATGCTTCAGGAGGTGACTTAATTTTCCAATGGGCACATCACAGCAGCCTGGTAACCTTCCATGCTTCAACAAATCTGAAGTTTCTGCTCCTGAAGGAGTCCCCTCTAACAAATGCAGTGGCTTCTGCCTGGGAGAGGTCTCAAAACAAGATCCAACTTGCCTGCAATTTTTTCCTCCTGAATAAAAGTTCTCTCCTGGAAAATGTGAACTTCCTTCTGAAGCTTTTCAGTTCACTGAAGACTGGGGAAGAAGTAATGTCACAGCACTGGGAGACCAACACTACATCTGCATAATGCACCTGTTTAAACTCCTGCTGCCTCCATGTCACCAAAACTTCTGGCTGTCCTTGCTGAGGATGCATTTCTTACTGTGACAGCGGGAAGAGTCTTAAAAAATGAGGGCTGTCCATGGAATACCCCCTAGATAACCCCTGCTGCCCACCAGAAATCCCCTGCACAGTCCCAGCCTCACCCCCAGTGTTCCCCAGCATGAGCCTCTTTTGTTCCAGCAGCACAGGAGCATCAGAGATGCTGAGCATCCTCCTCAGAGCCCTGCCTGCTCATCACTAGTGTTAAACACATTAAAAACAAGCTGAATTTGTTGGTAGAGCAATGCAAAGGTGCCCCAGCCTCAGGCAGCTGCTGATGCACCGTTTGCCCTTCACCCAGACTGTCTCCCACTGGCAGCTGTGCTGTGCAAATGAGGGTTTATGGCTGTGCTGCTGCTCAGCACGGGGACATTCCCTCTTACTGGAGTCCCTCTGGCACACGGAGCATGACTGCACCGGGAAGGAGACGTGCCTTGTCTCTCTGCTCTCCACAAAATAATGACTTCACCCAGAAGGACTTAAGTCCCCCAAATCCCCCCTCAATTTGTGTACAGAATGCCAACCTTTCACACCCAATGTGCACAATCCTTAATGTCCAGGCTACAGGGAAGCCAAAACCATGCCTGGAAAGGCTCTGTATCTTCTGGCATCTGACCACAGATATAACTACAAGCACAAGTACTGCAATTCTAATTATATGCAAATATAAATTCAAAACCTATATTTTTTCTTCAGCTGCAAACCAGTATTTCCTATTCCATTTAACTGAGG